TACAAAAATATTTTTGAGTATGTATTGTAGTTGCTCAGTATGTAATTTACTATTGTATAATAAATATAATTATATTTCTCTCTAAGTAGCATTTACTCAGCCTTACAATTTTCGACCTTAAAGTTTCGAAATGCATTATTGAATAATTCTTTCGAAAGTATAAAAACTTTACTAACGAAATTATGCACAGCCTTAAGATGTTTGTAAGCATTGTGTTATAGAATTTATAATAACACAATGATCGAAACATATTTATCAAGAAATATTCACAGCGACTTTTGGTAAAGCAGATTGCGATATTAACATTACCATGCCTTATATAAACTGAGTTGTGTGAATACATTTTGCATTGCATATTTTCGAAAATTGTCCAAACGTAAGTCAATGTTAAAGTTGAAACTCCACGTGGATCATTTAGAATTCACTTTAGTATTAAGCCTTGAAATGAAGTCCATTGCTTGATTGTCTCCTTTTCGATGTTCCAATGCGCGAATGATATCCGTATCTTTAAATTAATATAAGATTATATTTTATAGTTCATTTACATAAACAATAATTAATAGAATATTTATACTTAAATATTAATATTCAGTAAATATATGAGTCCGTATTCAGAACACGCTTATAACAATATTAGCGCACATTTAACATATAGTTTATATTATATGCTATAGAATTTTAGAAACAAAAGCATATATCGACGAAAACGTAAATACGGGCATATACATATTCCGTATTATCTTCAAATTAAGAAATTAAGTACACTGAAAGAAAAGACTGGCTGAATATGGCATAGTATTTTTACTTAATTGCAAAAGCCAATTTTTGATTGCGTTAGTTTATCGAAATCTTATACTGACATTGCGGATAGGCAACCAAAAATTGGCTGCTGCAGCTAATTAAAAATGCTATGTTATATTTTACCATCTGTTGCAGCAGCCAATCTTTTTTTTTAGTGTAAGAATATGATATTATTATTATCACTAAAAGTATAACTCGATAATTTTCTGAAACATAATAAAAGCTTATTTATTATTTTATATCATTATTACATACTTTTTTTGGTCGGACGAGAAAGTTTTATATGAATTTGATCTAAAATTGCGAAACTAGTTTCTGGTTCAGTATCAGGAATTTCATTAAATGATAGGAAAGCTTCAGCCATAAATCTTGATCTAAGAAAATCCTTGTCTTTTAATTCAAATGCCACTATAGCGTTTTCTACGGCTCTTTGTTCCGAAGTAAGAGGACTGTAAATGTTAGAATTATTTATGTTGGGATTAGTATTTTATTCTATTTTCTATTTTTATTTTATATCTATAATAATTTTAAACAATAATAATTGGCTACATTACTAACATGTTAAACATTTCATCGAAAAGGGGAAACTGCGTTTCCTTCTGCACATGTGTCTTAGGCATTTTAATTTCGGCAAATTTCTCCTCAGGTAGTAATCTGATCTTTACGTAGGAATCGCATTTACCTGTAATAGACATAAAAAAATCATATTTTTTGTATAATATGATTTATAACATTTGAAGAAACCCACTGAGAAACTATTCATGCACGGTGATGATGATTATCAATGCTGACTCAATACATATATTCTTATCAGTAAGGTTCATTAACACAAGTTTAATTATGTAGAAATAATTGAACTTAATTAAGAATATAAATTATACTTTTCAGATATATGATAATAATAATAATTTTAGAGAACCTTATAGATAAGAAATTACAAATAATCAACGTAAACAATATTCCATGACAATCTCCAATCTTTTTGGTTCAGGAAGACCACTTTATTCATTAGAGATTATTTTTCTATTTTTATATAACGTCAAAATTTGTTCGTGCCATGCATTCCCAAAATGCTAATTTCGCGATAACAAGCAATATAGAGAATTATATACAACTGATGAGGAAGAATTCCACTTTGTATTCTACACTTTTACATACTTGTCTTCCCTTCTTTGACTTTTTGTTTAGATTTTGAATGCAGTTTACGCTCGAGAGTAGACAGCTTGCTTATAAAATGGCCTATAAAATCGAAAAAAAATTGTCATTCTTCCTTCTAAATTTCGTAATTTTTTTACCAGCGATTGAGTTTATCAGAACTGATACCTATCATATTTTCCACCATAAAAATATATAAATGGTTTTATTATTATTACGGTTAATTAGCTTGAGTAAAATATCTGTTTCGTTATTTTATTTAATTTACTTGTATCTCCAGAACTTCTACTTATCAGATAATATCTTCTTCTCGTAATTGTAAAACTTCCTTTTGTGTTTAAGTTATTTATTAATTTTTGTCTAACAACTTTTTTATTATTTTTACAAATATTAATTTTATGTAATACGAATACATAAAAAAATTCTGTTAACTTTTTACATTTTATTATATTTTTATTATATTTTTATTGTATTTTTTATATTTTATTATAAAAACTTTTAATTTGCTCACCATTGCTATCCATACATCGGAGATTTCTGGCATTTAGAATCTGGATGTTCAATGAATTATCAACAAAATATGCTTTGATGCTGACAAGACCGTAAACAGGTTCTTCTATTTTCTTCTGTTCCTCCATGCGTTCTTGATGATAACGATGTATGAGCTCAGCAGTCTCGAGTCCATGTAATTGTAAAAGACGTTCTATTTTCTCCAAAACCTGGATGTTTGCTGTTTCATCAGCACCGAGATTAAAGAATCGAATGAGCGTGTGAAGAGTTTTATGCAAATTCGAATAAAATGCTGGTGGTCGTCGTTTCTGTAAGCAATAATTTTATTATTTTATAAAATAATTGAAACTTATAAGTAAAGAATGTAATTGTGTTCTCTTGAATGATTGCATTTACCTCTAAATTAGTGTTGACTAGATCATACAACGTTTGTGATATGATTTCCCAAATCACATGGAGAACTCTGTTAAAGTTATCCTCGTTGAGATTATCATGCAAAGTTGCTAGATTACTGTCTAAATACTGTAGCAGACGATCCATCGCGTTGCTGGTTGTATCAATTAATTCGGCACCCTCCATGAGATATCTAAAAAACGCAAGCAAATTATTTATTAAGATAAACGTAAATAAATTTTAAAAAATTAGTTTCTTACATCTTTTATAAAATTTCTTATACATTGTTATAAATTAATTAAATGAAAGTGACCCATTTTTATTAGTTACATTTACGTACCTATTCATTGCAGGAGCCATTTTGTTAGCTACAACTTCCAATAACTCTATGATCTTGTTCTTCACAGTATCTGTAGCATTGTTAATGATAAGCTGAAGAGTCTGTCGACAACGATCAGCCTCTTCATGAGTCTTATGCTCTCCTAAAGCATCTATAATATCCTGTAATCCCAAGTCCTGAGCTAGTGGTGCAATCGATGTTCTAATATAATCGATATTATTAATAGCAAAGCACCAGGCCGTCGATATTGTAAATCTTTTTTCATACACGCTACTCTGCGAAAGTTGTTCTAATTCTGTTGTTATCTCCGCTTTTGCTGCCATTTTATCAGCATATGCCATGGAACACTTACAAATATCCTACAAAACAATTATTTTATTATAAATTGCTTAAAATCTTTAATATAATTTAATATAATTTTATCTATTTACCTATAATGTACCACAATTTTCTTATTAACGATAATACATACGTTAATTATAATTTAAATACGTCAGAATTTTTAAACTTACATCAATAATTCTTGCTATGAATGTATAAGAACCTTCAACATCGGGCCACGCTAACTGCGTCCAAAAAACTTTAATTTGATAAAATGTTGTTAATGTATCTACAGCGCTTGAACTATACTGAACGCTACTGTCAATTGCTTGCAAAGTATCAATTTCGACTGCTCTATCGATGCGTTTAAGTGCTTTATACACTGCGATTTCCAGCCAATGCGCGATACCGCCCTTAAACCAATCGTAATAATTTTGTATTTTCATATTCTCTAATTGTCCTTCGGCACAAAGTACCTGGCCAAGTCTGTAAATTGTAGAAATAAGCGAAATGTTTAAAATTGGCGAAATACTTAAATAGATAAATTTTTCAGAATTATGTAAACTCACGTAGCATATCTTTGAAGTATAAGATAAAGCTCGAATAGAGTCGTGCCTAGGCTTAATTCTGCATTATCAGTGCTATCAACTTCAATTCGTTTCAATCTGGCACACACGTCCTCTATAATGATCATGCACATATCACTGATTCTCTTTTCATACGCAATATACATCATTCTTGCATATGGAATATTAATTTTCCTAAAAAAATGAATAATTATATTCTGCGAACATATGATATCTTATAGAACAGATCGACTTACTTTATGAATATTTTGTCATAATAATCAATAGCTCTCTGTAAATCTGCTCTAATCAGTTGAATTACTTTAATATAATACCTAAGCGCGTCTTCATCAGACTCTGTTTCAGGTGAATTATTGCTTAATATATGTTCAAACCTAGAACATAATGTATATTTAATAAATATATTTATTGTTGGTATAGCAAAAAATAAAAGATGTTAAATTTATGTTTTGTTTCGCTTACCATTCAGTACAGCTTTGTGTAATAGTGAACTCTAAACCTTGGAGTATGTCTATCTTCAAATTTTCAGATTCAGAAAACCAAAAATACATTTTGGCGGGAAATAAGTCAACATCTTCAGGAACTTTCAAAGAGGATATAGATGATAATACCCTAAAATTAAAATTGATTAAAATTTTTTTTAAGAATTTGATTTCAATGATTCAAAGTCATTCCTTTCTATATTAAATATCATTAAGATATCCTCATTATATAATCGCGTGTTGTAAAGCCAAAAATTGCAAGAATATAAGTAATTACCTTAAGATGGAAGTTAATTGTATTATTGTATTTTGGTTTCCTAAAATCAATTTTCTAATTTTTCGTATAGTGTTTAGGCATGAAAATATAATTTTCTTTGTGGCTTTCCAAAAGAGTTTTGTTTCATCAACAGAGAACAGACCACTATCCATTGGTCTAAGCAAATTAATTATGAGTTCATTGAAAATTGTGAAACTTAATGGATGCTCCTCATGGATTCTTGCGTATTCGATCCATTGTGCCAGAGCGAGATTTCTGGCTAGTAAGCCACGTTGCGCACTATGTTGAAGAATAAGCGCTTCGGCTGGCCCCGACCAACGACCACACCAACAATATTTTTCAATTTTTTCTGTTTCAATCTCATGAAGCAATAGCACTCTTAACAGGTGTCGGTGTTCTTGTGCAGCTACTTGTGCATTATGTTCTGCACTGAAGGCTAATCGAAGCTTTACAACACCACGACGTTTGGACTTATTTTTCTTGTCTAGAGCGTACCACATAGTATGACCCGTTGTAGGTATATCCTAAATAAATACAAATATAATATATATTTAATGTATTTACTTAATATTAAAAAATATACACAATGTTAATGCAATGTAATATATAAAATAAAATCTATGTATAAAAATATTCTTTATAATCTTTTAATTTTATAAATAAAATTTTATATTACCTTCAGCGGTATCCGACATCGACCAATAAATTCATTATTATGACTACCAGTTGTAGCCGTTACTGCAATTTCTTTAGCTAATTTAACTAAGCCACGAACACCTTTAATATCTTTAACTTTACTCATTTTTTCAGGCACAGTTTCGGCAGCATCGAAATCCCTAAGAAATACATAAAATAAGATTAATTAATAATTAATAATTAACAATTAATAATAATAATTATGTACAAAGTGATGTATATGACTTATGACTTACCATACTTCAAGATATAAAATATCATTTTCGGGATCCTCCAGCGGCCTAAATAATAACATATATGAAATAAATACGATATTATA